GACTCTGTTTCCCCACTTCTTGAATTGGGGCTGACTTCGTGATGTTCTTTCACCAATAACAATGAGACCCTGGAGTTTCCTCTCTCACCCTCTTGGAATGCTGCCCCGAGCGCACCCTGTGGGGAAGCCTGGTCTAACCAGCCAGAGGTCAGGACCCACGTGGAGCAGAGGTGAGATGATCCAGAGGAAGGCTCCTGGCCCAACTAGCTGACAGGCAGATAGGAGGGTGAGCTCGTCTTAGACCGTCCAGGCCCAGGTGAGCTGCGGGGTGACCAGATACCACATGGGAGACACGAATGACAATTAATTTTGGACAGAAGATATCGACAGCTCTATCCTTCATGTGCAAACGTATCTGTAAATAAAGTGGCATGTACTATTTATCTGTTTGAAATATATCTAATCTACATTAACAACTTTCCACTATTGCTACAGGCCAGAGCAAGGGTCTTTCTGGAATGTTCAAGATAATCCAGTGGAGTGGGAGAAAAATAATTAGATACCTTATTATTTATAATTCATTTTTCCTTTTGATTCTTTAAATATGTTTAATAAGGTACATAGCACAGTATGTGAAAATTATTTATAAATACATAAATATACACATTATAGGGTTTTCCACAGTCAGATCTCCCACACATCCTCAACCTTCCACCCCTACACAAAAATATATACTTCTATGCCTTCCCTTTTCTAAGTGGATCTTCCCTTAGTTACTTAGGGAAGAGTCAGTGATAGCTACTGTCACAGATCATTGTCCATCTGTACTGCAATTATTTTTATTTATTTATTTTTAAAAAGATTTTATTGGGGAATTGCAGGAGGGGAACAGCGTTGGGGAATTGGGGAAGGGAAACAGGCAAGTTGCTGTCCTTTTGTTCTTCAGTCTAGTTGTGGAGAACGTTGCTTCACTGGCCCATGTTGGTATCATCACTAGGCTTTTCCCGGGTGAGGCAGTTGCTCACAGGCCATTGGACGGCAGCTCACGAAAGCTCACGCCCGCTGCCGGCCAGCCCCACTGCAGCCTATGCTGTCACCGGCGACTCAGGTTGAGCTGTTGTATACAATCTTAGCTGTAGAGGGTGCAGCGTCACTGACCCTCATGTGGGATCTGAACTGGGATCCCAAGCCAACTCCTAACCAACGTGCAACTCGGCCGGCCCTGTACTGTAGTTATTGATAAACGGTCTCTTCAGCAAGGCTGTATGCATTTCTAAGATAGGGTGTCTGTGTCATTTGTCTTGGGCACTACAGCATGATGGCATTAGAGTGTGATTTCTCAGAGGGCAGGTTCTGGAGCCAGGTTGCCTGAATTCAAATTCCACTTTTGCCCCTTATTAGCTGTACAACCTTCAGTAAGTTATCTGAGCTTCCATTTCTTTGCTGTAAATGGAGAGAATAATATTCCCTACCTTATAGGGTTGTTGTGAGAATAGAGTGAGTTAATACATGTCAAATGCTTAGGAGAATGCCTGGCACGTAGAAAGCGCTCAATTAAGTATTAGCTAGCATCCTCATTACCCCCCCCACACACACACACATACACACACATACACACACCATGATTGCTACCACCACTGTTTTTCTGTCTCCAATGTTTAATAGAGTAAATGTGTGACAGAGGGAAGTGAGAAGAGCAGAGCTGTAGAGAAACCACATCATGTGGCTTATTGAATTTCCCCAGAGGGATGCTATAACTCCAAGGCCAAGTGGCTCGCTAGTATCAGCTGACAGTTGGTCTGTTACTGACAAATAAAACATGTAAATAATAAGTATGTAAGACAATAAACACCTTCAAGTTCTGCTTTTACAGCCTGATTATGGTGAGGCAATAAAGTAATTCTCGGCTGAAAATTATGACTGAGATTTTTTTCCTTAAGCACCATCTTTTAACTGTAATCACTCCCCTGTTGGAAATCATCAGACACAGGTTTACGGCATACCCACATGCAGCATTTAGATTTCTGTGGATTTCCTATAAGATGCAGACTCACAAATCCATCTCTTCTAAATACGCTACTGATAACCTATGCTAGAAGAAAGGCACAGTGGCAAGACTTGGTGCATATCACAGGGGAAAGGGGTCACAGAGATCACCCTACCTTGCCCCCGCCACCCCCCGCAACTTTACAGATCAGGACACTGGGCAGAGAGGGTAGGTGTCTTTGACGCCCCATAGCTGATCTGGGATAGAACTCTTTTCTTTTGGCTTCTGTCTAGGTCAGTGCACGTCCTCATGATCCCAGTTTTAGATACTATTCCCATAACAGTGTATAAAAGTGTATCATTTGTATTAAGGGAGGTAAGAAAGCCACACCATAAAAAGCCCACTTAGGATTGGGCCTCTAATAAATAATTATTGAAGGATGAGTGGAGGTATGAATCGAGGCTCAGCTGGCTGGCTATGAAGTTCTCAAGGTTTCTCAACTATCTTGACACTTAGGTCTCTGAAGTGGTACCAGCAAGTAGGGGGCGGGTGAAAATCACTTCTTCAACAGAGTACCCAGCAAAGACACAGTCATTCTTCCCACCTTTATTTCCCTCTGTAATCATGCCTCACAGCGCATTTGATGAAGGAGATACTCAAATAAACTTGCTTTTCTTCTTGGGTTTTCTCAAAACTATAAAGGTAACATACGTAAAATTTTTAAGAATAAAAATAAACTAATAATAATAGATAATGTTTACTGGGTGCTAATTTTTTACTAGCCATGTTGCAAACATGTGACATGTGCTGACATTTAATCCTCACAAACAACTTTAGTTTACACACATTCTATACTACTATCATCTCCATTTTACAGGTGAGCAAACTGAAGCACAGAAGTATTAAGTACCTTTCCCAGAGTTTTATAGCCAATTACTAATGGAATAGGTATTCGAACTCAGGCAGAGTGGTTCCAGGGTCCATGGTTTTAAATTAATCACTCTTTTATACTGTCACTGTTCAAGTTTTAGTTTCCAAATTATAGGAAAAAAAACTGACAAATTTTACTAAATTAAAATTTAAACTTCTATACCTTAAAAGACAGAATGGAGTGAAAATGCAAGTTTCAGGCTAAAAAATGTAATAGCAAAATATTTAATCAATTTTAATAGTAATTTATAAATAATTCTGTAAATAGTAATTTATAGAATATGTAATGAATTCCGGTAAATCTGTAAGAAAAAGACAAGCAATGCAAAAGAAAAATGGGAAAAGACTATGAACAGGCAATTTGTGAAGGAACCCAAATGATCTCTCAACACATAAAAAAGGATGCTAAACTAATCTCACTTGTAATTACAGGATGCAAATTTAAAATTTCACTTATCAAATTGGGAAAAACTGTAAAGTCAGTAATAGCAAGTGTTGATGAAGATAGAAGCAATGAGAACTCTCATACTCTGCTATAAATTGGCACTCCATTTAGAAAAGCAATAATCCCTAGTAATGTTGAGAACATACATACTCCACATTCCAAAAAAAACACTCCTATGCTCTAAAGAATATTCCGTAGAGAAATGTATGTACACAGGGAAAAAAGGTATATGAATTTTCATAGCAGCAATTTTTTCTAATACTGAAAAAATGTAAACTATTTAAATATCCATCAATAGTAAAATGGATAAGTAAATTGTGGACTATTCATATAATAAAATAATCTATAGCTATCAAAACATATAAACTGAAGTAAAACGGAACAAGGAAAAATGTAGGATGAAAAAGATACATTTCAGAAAGATACATTCAATATGCTATTAATACAAGGTTTGAAAATATGCAAAGCAATACTACATATTGTTCAGCAACATATATACATATTTTTAAAAAGTATAAAACATGCATGGGGATGATACACACCAAATTCAAGGTGGTTACTTCTGGTGTGGGAAGGGTAGAGAGTGGGTTAAGGAAGAGATACATGGAGGTGGGGGAACTTCAACTGTATCTATAATACTTTACTTTAAAAAAATTATTTTCTAGTGTATATGGTAAATTAAGATTCTATAGGTTTGTGTGGTAGCATGTAGTAGCTCATTACGTTTTCTGTACTTTTCTGTATATTTGAGTTTTTTCAGATTTTCAAAGAAATATTAAAAAGTAAAAGCAAAGCACTAATGATGATAAAAGTTTCATGGTTTGTAGGGACGAGTAAAATTAATAATCTGTTTGTACATTACTGAAGTATATAAGCTCAACTGATATTTTCTCCTTCCATTAGAAACCTCAAAGATAGACCAATTTTTCTTGCTATTATAAATTAATTTGGACAATTATATAATCAGATACGGAGCTAATGTGACCCTCAAATAATAACTTATTTTATGTTATTTTTGTAATAGCCAATTACTATAGTAATGTCCCTATTTTGGAGATGAGGGTCTCTAATATAAATCTTTGGCTTATTCAAGGATAGATCTGGAATTTTAGCAAAATGTCAGGGATACAGCCAAAGACCAAGCCTTCATTCCTTTGATATTAGACTTTGCCATCACAACAAAAGAACTCCAAGTATTGTAGCAATAATTCTAAATGCTTCTGTCTTAATGTACCAAAGGCTAAGAAAACGTAAAAAATTTTACAAACTTCCAAAGGAAATACTGTAATGTGTATCTGCAGAATGTTGGAACAATTAGCAAGCTTACCATTTAACAATTATGTTAAGTATGTCTTAACTTAAGTAAGCACTGAGGCCACGGTTGGAGGTATGACACGGGTCCCCGAGGTGGAATGTTTGGCAGATGAACTTCAAATACAGTCTGTTTACCCATGGACATAAGTGGCCTTAATCAAAGCAGAACACATTTTTTTAAATGTTGATTTTAAAAACAGAAGTGTAAATAAGACTGTGATTTATGAATCTCCTAATGCTGTTCTCTGCTGTAGACTTCAGAAAGATTGAGTCTTTGGCTGCGGTAAATACAACAAGAGTGCAGGCTTGTTAAAGTGGTAATAGGTGCCCTTATTAAAAACTTCACTTCCATTAAGAGTTACAAATTATCTTCCTTCTTTCCAGTCCTTACAGAATGCGTTCCAGAAGCAGTGACACAGAGGGCTCAGCCCTCAAGCAATTTCCAAGACACAGTAAAGACCTCAGTTTCCAAGTGTCTAAGGACATGAAGCAGAGACAGCAAGGTGAAGACTCCACCAGTGAGCCAGGTGCAATCCATCTACATCCTACCTCACACAGTGGTAATGGCCGCCAAGGAGAAGACCTCTCAAGAGATGACCTGTTACTTCTTCTAAGTATCCTGGAGGGAGAAGTGCAGGTCAGCTGAGTTCCAATTATCCCCATCATGCTTCAAGGGGAAGGCTGCTTGTGAATTTGATTTGTATGCTGCCACACAAATATATACCTGTGGTTCATACTCATGTATACATGAGAGCAAATGTAAGTACACACACACATGATTCTCTTCTGCCAACTTGAAGGGCAATTAATCACATCTAAAAGGGCTAGCATTATGCCATACGATTGGCATGCAAGGTGTGAAAGGTCATATCCTCTGCCCATGATGCTCACAAGCTCCAGTGCACAGGCATATATGGGTTACAATAATCCCAGATGACTTCTGGACTGGTCTAAACAACAATAGGTGCTTTTGTGCTCCTGTGAACTGGCTCTTAGCCTTGCCCTGGCAGTAGTAACCTACATTAAAGAACGAAAAACAGCTGCTACACATAGAACCTTATTTCCTACCCCTGAAAACGCAAATGCCAGTCCATGGAGGGGTATCATGTTATCTGCCTGTCAGACACAATAAAAAATGTAGGGTCCCCTAATGTTGTACGGTGATGACTTTTTAAAACATTATTAATGGGGTAATTAGATTATAATGGACATAGTTTTGCTACCTTTTCTAAAAGGTGCTATAACTAAATATAATTTGTTTGTATTTGAAAGAGAAGGAGAGGAAAAAAAAACCACTCAACTCTCATAAGAAATCACTTTGGGAGACGGCTGGTAGATAAAGCGAGCTTTCTGAAATGCCTTTTGTTCCTACAGGCTCGAGATGAAGTCATAGGCATTTTAAAGGCTGAAAAAATGGACTTGGCTTTGCTGGAAGCTCAGTATGGGTTTGTCACTCCAAAAAAGGTGTTAGAGGCTCTCCAGCGAGATGCTTTTCAAGCAAAGGCTTCTCCTTGGCAGGAGGACATCTATGAGCAACCAATGAACGAGGTATGTGTTAGATCAGGGGTGTGCATCTGGGGTGGGGGATGTTCCCCAGCCAGCCAAGCACTAGGCCTGGCAGGGGGCATGACATATAGCTCCTTGGTGATTATTTACAGTTTTACATTCTAAGGCATTTAAAATCTACCAGAGGTAGATAAATAGTAGATGTTCTACAGGAAAGAGAAGGAGAATGAATCATGACAGGATGTTTGCACTAGGTTTGTTTCTTGACATCAGACTGAAACCTAACGAATGTAACAAATAAATGCATTTTCTCTCTCTCTCTCTCTCTCTCTCTCTCTCTCTCTCTCTCTCTCTCTCTCTGACACACACACACACACACACACACACACACACACACACACACACACGGGTCCAAACTTCTTTTGGGGACTCGAAGACTATTCAGGCTATAATAAACAACAGATCAAGTTCAACCATAGAGGTTAATTTCTTTGAAAACACTGAGGTATTATGTCATAGAAATTCTGAGCATGAATGGAAATGATCTGAAGAACTGTCCAAGAAACAGAGTTTTAGAAAGCATATATTTTAGATGAGCACATATCCTTTTTCCCTTCAAAAGTCTAATGACAGCAGAGACCTCTCTCCTGCCACGAGCCCGGCAATGACAATGGCAAACTTCGCAGTCCCCACACGGCCACCACGGCACACAGATGCGGGGCGGCTTGCTCTTTGACTTGCTGACATTTTTGAGACTCTTTGGCATCCTTATTTTATTCTTCTATTTTCCTCTGAGACCTCAATGGAAAATTTCATAATTTTTCATTTTCATAAAAAGGAAACAACTAGGAGCATGAGTTAAGGCTGGAGAGAGTGAAAGCAAGTTTTGGACCAATTTCCCTCACATAAGCGCTGGCAACCTACCTCAGGACTGACCTCTAATGTCCTTGCTATTTTCGTCTTGGGTGTCTCCTGAGAGGAGACTACCGTCTTGCCAAATTGTGAAGGAGTTCGGTCATAGGGACCTGCTTCTCTGAGGGGTGAGGATGAGACCACCCAGAGTCTGTTGATGTGTGCTTTATTCCAGATTCTAAACAAGAGGAGCTGAAGCTGCATTCAAGTCAACAGTGTTAAAACTGTATGCTGGCTCCTGACACGGTGACTGTGAGAGAGCATTCGGCACAAACTCCCCAATCCATATGCGCGCACATGCAAACTAGTTCTCACTAAACATATCTTGACAAAACTCCACAAATGACACAACCCTTCAACACTCAAGTGTGAAATGAAACAGGGTGATTCCAAACTTATGCTGAAATCAGTAGGAAAACGTTTTAGTTTCAAACTAATTCTACTACACACACATAGAACTGGAAATATCCTGACCCTCTACAGATGCTTGTCCCTAAAATGTATCCACAATTTAGCTCTGCTTTCCAAACCCAGTCTTCTTCGATTACTGCCCCCAACCACACGCACACATTTCTCACATTCCCACCTCCATGACTTGCCCACTTTCCTCTCTTGCCTTCTGTTTTCCCTATAGATTTGTCTCTCCTCAGCTATCAGTCTATCCAATACCCTGAAGCCCACAGAACTAACTACCGACCCAACAACCTAGGTATCTGCCCTCTTCCTGTATCTAATGGGAAGGAAGGGGTGGGAGGAAGATGTCCAGAGAATAAACAGTGCAGGGGAATTCTGACGAGAATTCCCTAGATAGGGCTGAAGAAAAGACAGAGGCCGGTGTTCCCACTAAGTGTACCCATCCATGACTGCACCCTAGTTACATCAAAATAAAGATCTGCATGCTAAAAAAATAATCTTTTATTTTCTCCCATTGCAGGGTGCTAACTCCCCGACCACACCCCACCACCCACAAACAACACACTTTTAATTTCTTCACAATGCTTTTTGAAAAATGTAAAAATCTCAGCTGTGTCTAGGGTGAAGTAAAAAGTTCTCAAGGCAAAATCCCTTAGAAGAACAAGCTGCGCTTGGTTACATCACATGGTAGGAACACTGACTTAAGATGAAAAACTGGTGGAGGCCTGGGAGCTAGAACAAAGGGTGCAGATGGGGAGAGGGAGTAGCTGGGTTGTCCAGAGGGAGGGAGATGCCAGAGGTCAAGAGTCCACCACAGCTTTAACCTGTGCTTCTGTCTTCAGGGAGGTTAATGACTAAGAGAGTGATAGACAACACGATCACACAAATACGCATATAATTACACATATATTCGTTTCTGTGGTTAAAATCACAAAGCACTTTGAGAGACTATAATGGGTGTTGAATTTATTGGTTTGTCGGAAAAGTCATGACATATTTTTTCTGTTTTTCATTGCAAAAATGTGTCATGACTTTTCTGACAACCCAATAGATACAAGAATCAGGAAAGCCAAGATCTAGAGGGTGAGTAGGGGTTAATCAGATAGAACATAAAAGAATTCCATTTCTAGCAACACTGTGGACTCGATATCTAGTGAAGCTATATACTGAAAAATACATAAAAACTTTAAACTTTCTAACACACTCTTCAATGCATGGATGAGATTACACAGAAGCAAGAGACCTTCTGAAGCTGGAACTAAAAGGGAAATTTCCATAGACTAGCTTCTGGCTCCATACACAGAACAGAAGATGCCCAAAAAAAACCAAATACGCATTTTAAGAAAGGAAAAAACTGTATTAAAATTGTAATATTCAATATATATCAATAACAAAAGATGAATACAAGTCATGTGTATACATTTTTTGGCACCCCCGGTATTTTGAACCTTTCTCTTCTCAATCCACAAACTTCCAGTGCTGGAAACCAAAGGACACATTCATTTTGTCCTTTATTTGACCATGGCTGGGTGAGCTGGCAGTGGCCAGTAAAAGCATTTCTGGAAGCCTTTCCTACATGAAGATGCTAGCAATAATTTGCCTATTCATGGAAGTGACTTTGAAACCAACCAAACTTCCCTTTAGCAGCTCCCCCCACCCCACACAAAAAATGTTCACAGCCTCTCTAGAACTACCTGATGTGAGAAAACATAGGATGGAGGGTAAGTAAAAGTGGACAAAAAGACAGAGGTTTTAACTGGCTACAATTAAAATGTATTACTTTTGAACTTTTACAAAATACATGGCTAGGTAAGCAGTGTTGCTGGGGACTTGACAGGGCTTTGGATGACACCCACACAAGTGAAGAACAGCAAAACTTAAGCTTCATGGTAAATCTTCCACCTCCTCTCTCTCTGTGTGAGCATATGTGGACATTTTTAGGAAAGGAAGACCCGACCACATTTGTAGGCACACGTTTAAAGGGACAGAGTTGGGATCAAAGACACAAGAAAGAGAAATTCTTATTAGGGCTGGAAGGAGACAAAAAGGGATGGAGCAAAGAAGTTCACACAGGTGAAGAGGTTAAGAATGTAGAAGAATATAGGTAGGTTAAGGTAGCAGAGGAGGAAAAAAGAGCATTTATGCTTGATGGACTCTCTTCAGTCAAGTAAAAGATAAAGTTAAGAAGATAAGGATGTGTTCAGGTCTAGTACTTAGAGAGAATAGCATGGCTTTGAACAGGTGTCTGGAGGAAAGAGGAAGGCTGCTGACCAGGCATAGAAAAGAGCCACGTGGAAGGTCCAGCTAAATCTGAAAATCCCCCAGAATGTACCAAGATTGAAAATGGAAAGGTAGGTTGTCAGGAGGGTGACCGGAAGCCCAGGAGATGATAGAGATGAGAATGAGAGAAGACTATCACCATTCAGAGGGACAATGAGAATAAGGAAGGGCGTTCGGAAGGGTCTGGCAGTGGTAAGGCAGAGCCATGAGACTCACGCTGCCATTTCCAGAATCGGAGGTATGGAGGTCATGAGCGAACGCGCAGTCTCTGTAAGATACAGATTCCAGTGTTATCCAGGAAAATCAGGTTTCAGTAAAGACAAGGAAGAAGAAGGGACATTTATAAATAGTATATTTGGTTACCTTTGAGCTACTAAAATGGCCAATTTCTGTGCTCTCCGCATTAGCTTTATTTCTAATGGTATATTCAGGGAATCAAAAAAAAAGGGACAATCTTCAAAGAGCCAATGGAAAAGCACTGAGAGCTAGAGCCGTAGTGCAGAAAGAAGATCAAACACAAAATCAGGGTGGTCTGTGACTCGGGAGGTACTAAAACAAAGGCCATTATTCATTTCTAAACATACATTAAGCAACCGAGAGCAAACAGATGAAAAACCTCTCTGTTCTTCATTCCCTCTGACCATGGAACAATCACGAGAAATCCAACCTAAGGAAACACACAGTCCGTCCATCATCCTAGGCAAGGAGTTGAATTGCATTAGGAGCTGGGGGTAGGACAGGACATCAGGAGGTTAAAATGACAAGCAGGAAGCTTGTCATTGCACAGTAAACATGAAGGAGCCATCTTTCCATTCTTTCTGCCCCTGACACTCCCTGTTTCCTTCCCCAGGCTTCATTCAATCTGTAATGGGGATAGATTTAAAAAGGGGCTGGGGGAAGGGCAGTGATTATCTGATAGTCCCTTAGTATTTAATGATATGCCACTTACACTGCTCGTGATTGTTTTGTGTGTGTATCTTATCTTCCTAGGGAAAGCAAAAGCACTGAGAAGTCTAACTTCCCTTGTATTCCCCATGGCAACTATCATGGCACTAAGTCCATAAAACATAATAGGAGCTTAATAAACACTTGTTGGCTTGAGAAAACTGTGGCACTAGAATTGATCTTAGAAATCAAGTGCAACCATTTAATCTATAAATGAGAAACCTGAAGTACAGAATGGTTAAGTGGCTTGGTCACGCTCACACACACAGGTGGTGAGAAATGAAATGAGTTCAGGGAGGATCAAGTCCATTGTTTGATTTGTCAGGAGTGAGTGAGACTGAACTGAGAACCACTGACGTATTTTCTAAGAGGCATTCTGGGCCTGGAGAAATGAAGGCACAGTATAAAACTTCAGGTATGAGTGAAAACATCTCCAGAATCAGTAGTTTTTCCTTTGGGAACTTTCCCTCTGTCAGGCCACTATTTGACAGCTTTCCAATGACCACTGTTGACAACTCCTTAGTGGTGGCACCAAATAAATAGCATGCAGTAAATGGAAGCCATCTTTCAAGGGTCATGGAATGTGAAGAAGGAAAACCCAGAGAATCAAGAGTCTCACTGATATGATGCAACAAACTAGTCTATCCAGGAGTGATCAGAGAAAGCTACAAAGAAGGAACAGGAAAAGTGTCGGGTAGAAGGGGAAAAAGGTTTCTAGGTTTTAGCACTGAAAAAAGCAGCCTTGAATCACCATGGTATGTTCTAGGAACTTCCCAAAGTCCAGTGTGGCTCAAGGCTGGGTGAGAAAGATGGGAAGGTATGGAGTGAGAAGGGGGCTGACTTGTCAGGAGGCCAATGGTGAAAGACCTTTTGGTTCTGGATAGGACAATGGAGTGATCCCATCGGTGTAGGAAGGAAGATCATGTTGTCACTGATGGGGACAGGCTGGAAGGGGGTGAGGCTGACGGAAGGGAGACGACTTTAAAGGTCATGAAATAAATGAAGGGCAATGGGTCTTGCCAGCCCTCCTTCCCTATCCCTTCAAACAAACAAACAATATAAGGAGGAAAACTCACAATGGAAAACAACAGTGGATTAAGCAACTCTTCTATTTTCTCTTTTTAGGCTGAATAAAGTTTAATACCCTTGTGCATACAATGACAAGACGCTATCTAAGGAAAGACATTTTTCTTGCATTGAAGAAGCCTTCCTTAGTCATTCATTTATGTGTTATAAATACCTACCATAATTATTCATTCATTCATTCTAGAGCTGATCTTATGCAAATTCAATACAAGGTTTTTTTAAGTCAGTTGACAAATTTCCTAAATGAAGGCTGATCCTACCTCTATTTCATTTTCAAATTCCAAAAGCAGTTCATTTGAATTTCCCTTTCAATGCACTTTAATGTTTGGGCAACTGAAGAAGGAATTTTCAGGGGGCTGTTAGGGCTTGAGACCCAGGACAAGTAACGCTACAATCTCCCTCTCAGAAGAGGGTCATTGGGTAACAGTGACTGGGCCAGCAGGCAATACAACTTAGTACTTTCTGCTTCCACAAAAGAATTGGCTACATTTATTAAAAATCATCAACACCTATATGGCATAATGAAGTACTGTATCTGTGTTAACACACCATTATAAACCAATATTAGACAATTAGAACCAGTCTAAGGATTTAGAGGGCTGAGAGAATTAGTTAGGTTCTATATGCCAGGACACTTTCGTTCTACTTTTTTCTGAAATGGCCTGGCTATTTTGTACCTTGGATTCCTAGTCAAGTAGGTGCTTGTTAAGGATATACAATTTAAAATGGCTTCTAATTCACAAAGTCACAAATTTTCAATTTTTTATGATAAAGACAAAGGGTAAAATCAACCAATAATATCAGTTATAGCACCTAGTATTTAACAAACTAGAAAGTCACATGCTTTCAAAACCATGCTCTTGATTGGATTTTTATTTATCACTGGCCAAAGATCCAGAGCCACATCTGTGTTAATCAGCCTCTTTCCCTCTTTTCTTTCTCAACTCCTTGCTTGTTTATTTTGTTTTCAATCTGTAAACATATATTGGGCACCTACTATGAGCCAGGCACCTTGTTAGATGCTAAAAAGTTAAGAAAAATGGAACGTAGGCCCTCCATTCAGGGAGTTCGCAGTCTAGTAGGGGAGACAAATACATAAATCGGGCCCAGGGTGATAGATTTATCAGACACATAAGCAAGCCACAGAAACCAGAAAGAACTTGGTGCTTATATGTGGTCACATTCACATTACATAATGACACAGAATTGATTAAAAAATGTTTAAATGTTTGTGTTTAAATATGCAAATACTTGATGCATAATACAATGAAAAACAGACCAAGGGCCCAATAGGCAGATACTGGTAGAGTACTCTAGAGAGGCCTGGGCAGCAGGGATCAGCTAGCACAGCTGTAGAATCAAACATTGTACCTATCACTCTTCTGATATGGTTTCTCTGGAGAGAGAAGGAAGTGTCAGAAAGGGGTTAGGGGAAACTGTTCTGATACCTACAGAGGCACCACTTCTTCTCTCTGGGGAAAAAATGATGACAGTAAAAAAGAATCAATTCATAAGAGGAATGATACAAATTAAACAAGGAGATCAGAACCCATTGATGAATTAATTAGTCAAAACTTGGACATTTCTAAAAGAGTGAAAGATGGCAGTATTATGAATGATTTGTAGTTAACAGACTATAAATTTACTTCCTTTTGCAGTTGGACAAAGTTGTGGAAAAACATAAAGAATCTCACAGACGAATCCTGGAACAGCTTTTGATGGTAGAAAAATCTCACAGGCAAACCATATTGGAGTTAGAGGAAGAAAAGAAAAAACATAAAGAATACATGGAGAAGAGTGATGAATTCATAAGCTTACTAGAACAGGAATGTGAAAGGTAAGGCTACTTTGTACAAGACAATGAACCATTCTGCAAACTCTTACTAACCTCATGGGCTGGGCACTATACCACGGATACAGGGATACATAGATGAATATGGCACAGCCTCTGCTCTCAGAGATCTCATGTCCAGTAAAAGATATGTTTAAAGACATTATCAGTACAATACAAAAATAAGCAGGTGTGATAAGGACTGTGGAAACATAAATCTGGGGCACCTAATTCTGCAGGGGAGTGCTCTGAGAAAGAACAGGGGAGGTGACAGAGGTTTTGTCCCTATACAAATAAGAATGGAAACTATATACATGGCAGGGGCAGAAATAAGTGTCACATCATAGAGGTCAGGTATTGAGGGAACTCAAGCTTTCCACATAGCTACAGGATGTAACTGCAGGATAAAAAAAAAGGAAAGGATAACCACAAGCAATTGGATTTTATACTGTCACAAGAAGGAGCAAATGACAAATTGTGGGAAGGGGGATGAGTTGATCAGGTGTGCTTTCTTAAAGAATCATTAAGGCAACATGGAGGAAAGACAGGAGGAGCATATGTGTTCCAATGGCTATGGGGTTAGAGAAACATTTATGATGTATAATCAGTTGTAAATAGTGACTACTGAGACTGGAGAGCAGAGCAAGGAAAATAGGGAGTTACTGAGAAGTACTGGCTATTCACCAAGGCACAGAATACATGAATGGGACACAGCTCTTTGTTGTTGAAGGATTTTGGTGGGGGAGGATGGTTTAAAAGTTGAGGCTGGGGGTAGGTGGTGAGTTCTGCTTTAGACATGTTGAGTGTGAGGTGCCCAATGAATTCCAATCTCCAGTGGGGAGAACAATATGTCTAAAGACAATCTTATAGGTCTGGAAAAGGATGGGCTGGTGATGCGAATTTGCATCTGGTGATAGCTAAAGCTATGAGTGTTGGTGTGGTGAGGAGAGAGAATTCTGAAAAGAGAACTCTAGAAAACATCAATGCTTGGAGGTTTTCTGGAGGAAAAGAGGTCAAGACAGGAAGCTAAGAAAGAATGGTGAAAAGCTAGAAGAACCAGAAGAGAAAGAAAGCAAAGAAACCAAGCAAGAATGAGTTTCAAGAAAGACTGAGCAGTCAAATACCACCAAACAATACAGCAAAGGATGAGAAAATGTCCCCAAATTTGGCAACAAGGAAAACAGTGAGGAACTCGAACCCTTTCAACAGAACAGTGAGGGCAGAAGCCAAATCATAACGTTTTGAATAATAAATAAGAACTATGAACACAGAAGCATAAAATGTGAACAAGTATTTTGAGAAGCTTGGCTGCAAAAATGGGGAGATTAGTTGGTAAACATTTTATAACCATATGGAGGGCAGGTTATTTGCTCCACTTTGATCCTCTGTTCTGAATCAATGTAGAAAGTATGAGCATCTATATTAACTGAAAGGACAACTGACCCTCTATTTATATTACAAAGAGAAAATAACCGATCTTTGCAATGTCAAATATTACTGGATCTTCATTTCCCTTGTTATTCCATGTGTACTTCTTTTATGAGTTACAGAGCTAATGATGCTGGATTCTGACAATCACAGACAAAAAAATTACTTGTGAGCTGCCTTTTACCAAATACTAGTAGTCTCAAGTGCTTTATTTAACTACTTACAATTCATATTTTCGCTAGGTAACCCAAGTTACATAACAGCCAGGCGAATGGCAAGCTTTCACTTATTTTCAATGTGCTTCATGGTAGACACTTGGTTAGGACACCAGAGAACCTATGGTCTTCACACCCAGTTTCTTTTTCCACATTCATCAGGAAGTTTGTTCTCTACTCACTGACTAGAGGAGGGTCTTGACTGTGTCCTTCATGAACTTGAAATGTCTTCAGGGGCAGATGAAAGGAGCATAAGAAGTCTGGCACCATGGGAAGATTTGCCTCAGACATTATGGTATAAGATATGTTATTCAATGAGACAATGTCAAATTAAATATTATTTGAACCCCTGTGGTTTGGTACCTGTGGCCTGATTTGGCCTCCACCCTTCTTGGCACTAACCTGCTGAACACGGACATTTCCTTTCATCTTTCATTACTATGAGCATTATTAACCATGGACAGAGTACTGCCTGCCATAGAACAAAGGGGTGCTGGCCACCCCCGCCCAGGGGGCTTACCACATTAATGCCGAAGGCAAGACATACAGATTTAGGGTGGGAATGTGGAGGGCTGGTGGTGGTACAGTTTTAATATTTACTGTTGTTACCTCTACTATCTTTTGTAGCAAGGCTGAGGAGGGCTATCGAGGAGTAATACTGTAACCCTAGGAGGGAGACAGAGATGATTATTTAAACCAAGAGAGAGCAAAGAGGAACACTGAGACATGGGAACAAAACATCAGTGGGAACCAAGGCCATGGGCTAGAGGAAAAGGAAAACAGTGAGATGAAAGTAAATTGTACATCATGGAATCAATATATTAAGAATGGTATTTCTACATGCATCAAAGGGGTTTAAGAGGAAAAAATTTAAAGATCGTATATCTTAGTTTATAGGACACAAAGTGCCTTTCTCTTGAAGAATAATGTAAGTGAACATACCATTACCAAAAAATAGGAAAAAATGGCTGGATTGACTCTCATTCCATTTAGCCATTCTGGAAGATATGAGAATACCCACCTATTTCTGTTTGCCAAGGAACAGCTTCCCGATGGAACTCTTTAGGCGTGAGAATGTTAACCCTATTCTCAGTTCCCTTGATACACATGCAATGTGTCCTCTGCTCAGCCTGTGGAACATCACAATTCCCATCCCTTGGCACTGGTGGTGCGCTGGCCTTCCTGCTGTCCTGCCTTTAGTAGGGAGACCATGGGCCTCATGCGGCACAACTTCTACCTATGTTAAGGCCATGTGCATCAAAGTATTAAATGAACACCACCTAGTGAAACAGGAAGTGGCAGAAACTCTAATAATTTCAGGTAAATATACACAGAGGTGGTGCTTATGCAAGAGAGTGAGATTCCATTCACGTCTCATTTTCAGATGACAAATGACAAAACACTCATCATCACTGAGTCCTAATTTAGTGAGAGTCTTCTCAGGCACACAGCCACCCCTCACAAAAGCAAGACTAACTTATCCTAATGGGTCAAAGAATAATGTTACTTCCTTCCTCAAACAAAGTGATGTAAACCACTCTCAAATCAGTGACCCTCTGTATAGAGAAACAAAGAAAGATATCATAACCCCCATAAAAAGGGGTTGGGTGGATGACGATAGCTATAAAGGAATATCTGATTGATGCTCTGAAACAACTGAAAGTTTAGCACTCGTATTTTAAGTGTTGGATAATATCTACTTGGAAATAAAATAAGAATTAAGATATACATGATTGAGATAGCTAATTTGAAGCTCTAGATTTCAAATTTAGGCTCGATTTCTGTGTTTTCTTTGGCTAATTTGTTTTATGTGGAAAACTCTAAAGGAGGCTGATGTCACACATTGAGTTTAGGCCAAAATGTTTGCCAAGTGATGTCGTTGTAATCAGTAAACAATTGGCTTTCCCACTGAAGGACCAAGGGGGCAGGGATCAGCTCAGGAAACCCTGTTCCCGGCATGTTAATGCAAAGTTTCCTTCGCTGTAATCTGTGTGGTTTGGGCTGTCCATAAGATAGTATTATATCCACATTTTATGACAACTTTCTGTTCACTGACCAGCTCCAATGTGTGGATATGTGTGTCACTGGTGACTTGAATTATGTACTTGGCTGAATTACAAGTGGAGTCTATGTGAAAGATTTTATACAAAAGCAACGCCAGTAATTTTTGGCCTTTCTGGATGGCTTCACAGGAAAGCCAAAACAAAAATCACTTTTAGTCAGTGCAATTTTGCAAAATTTTCCCATAAGTGAAATGCCAATTTTGTCTGTACTTTCATAAAGCTTGCATATTTTTTTTCCCTTTTTCAGTTCAATGGGGGGAAAGGCTGTGAAGAAAAAATAGTTTCCTTTTTTTTGAAACCATGTATGCTTTTTTAGAATACTCAAACAAAACATGTGTACTAACCATATATATTACTGCATTTCTGGCCTTGAAATAACCACTACAGTGGGAAACAAATACTATTATGGCAACTTGTATAAAAATGTGGCTTCCACCATGGATTTTTTTAAAGCCTTAAATTACTTTTCATAATATCTTGGCCAAGTAGGTTAACACTGATATTCCTATTTTATAAAGCAGGAGTTCAAATGGTAGCTTCTCAAAAGCCACATAGTAAGGAAGGAGTCACAGGTAGAAATAATTTCTTGTTCCTGTCCTGCCCAAGTGTGACTAGGCAGAGCAGTGGCTTGGGGGCAGAGGGGTCTTTGGAGGAAAGTCACTAGCGACCCAGCTTCCAGGGTTGTTGCCTTGACCACACCTTGGGCGAGGTCCTTTGCTGTTTGGGTTTTCCTAAAGAACAAAGCATGGCTACTTCTCGGATTGGCTGATACAACTTTGTAAAGAAAGATTTCCTTGCCAGCCCTTTTCTACTATCACAGGCCTATGTTCCTGTTTTCCACTGACATCAGACAAGATGACGGGAACACTGAGCCATATCTGATCCTCCTGTTGAATGAGTACAGTTGACCCTTAAACAACACAGGGGTTAGTGCCACTGACCCCCCAAGCAGTTGAAAATCTGCATATAAATTTTGACTCCCCCAAAACTTAACTACTGTCGTTGGTATCCACGGGGGATTGGTTCCAGGAACCTCCCGCACCCTCCACCACACACCGCCCTGCATAGATACCAGTCTGCAGATGACCAAGTCCCTTATATAAAATAGCATAGAAAAATGCATATAGTCAGCTCTCTGCATCCACGGATTCCCAACAGATGGAAAATACTGTTTTCAGTCCACAGTTGACTCTGCAGATGCAAAACCCAGGGATTTATTGAAAAAAAAAATTCCACATAAAAGTGGACCTGAGAAGTTCAAACCTGTTGTTCAAGGGTCAACTGTATATTGAACTACTTT